CAATTCACTCACATTTTAGAGTGCTGTTGAGACTTTACTCATCCCTTCTGAACTTCCCATTAATGTATGGCGCATAGTCTAGAACTACTCACCAGTCTGTGAAGTGAACAAGCGCCACTCCACCCACTGCTCCCCAGGTCACCATATTTGGTACCCTATAAAAGAAATCATCTGGCATCTATCACTGCCTCCTCCTTTGCCAGTACACCTGGGAAGAAGTTTTGGAGCAAATAATAAAGGAGATAGAAATTTAATCACACAATCATCTGCAATGTGTCCAGAGCAACCATATACCTTAATCCAGGTATGCCACCTGGATGGTCTTAAATGAGATAGCCTACTTTTGGCAGGATATTATTTATGCATTTCTGTGTGCATGCATCCCTCTTTGGCTTGTACTGAATTTTTAAAATGCTACCAAGTTCATCTTCAAAAGATCGGTTGACTGCACAATTTTAAAGATTTTTTTTTTAATTATAAAAAACAGCGACTCCAGTTCTCTGAGGTTCATTCTGTTTGTGTTTTCCGATGAATAAAATCATATGAAGTAGCTTGAACATAGATTTAAGTTCTGCATGGCCAAATTTGTTAAGAAAGTGTTAATTAACAAATATTTACTGCTAATTTTTACTCATGTTCATTTATTAAACAGATAAAACTATTATAAATAATGACAAATTACTGTTAAGCAGTGACAGTATTTCTGTGTGTGCACTTAATATGTTTACACAAAAGCAAACAGTTGCCAAGTATAATTGACTTCAACAGTTCAATGGTCCTTGTAAGAAAACCCGTCACATTTAAGGGGAAAAACAAATGCTCGTTAGTGTGTTTTCGGACAATTCACGCACACATTGAACTATTGTAATATCTGACATGTGACCAAATCATCCCATTATTATACTTATCAGTCTAATATTCAGGTTAAATATTTCGTAAGTAAACTGAGATATGCTAGGCTATGATGGCAACAGAATGTGAACTGTTTTGTACTTAGACATTTAGTATATTGAAAAATCGGAATTTAAAACAGCAGTGACAATAATACATCTTCCCAGGTTCAGTGTAACCGCAGACACTTTATTCCTTCGCTCGCTGTTAACTTAACTCTGTACTCGGCTAACTAGCCCAGCTAGCTAAATCAGTAGGAAATATCCAGCAGGCTAAGACAAAGTTAGTTGGGTTACAGGTCACACACGTAAGGACATATGCGCTAACAACATGATTTTCAAAATGGCAAAAGTCACCAAAAACTTCAAGTACTGCACTCCATTTCTATTATTAACTTAACTCTCCACGTCCTTAAAACAAAAATGTACTTGGCATCGAGGACTTTATGAAGTATTTTCTGGACTATCCTGACCTTCCCTCACTTATAGCCCAATTTTCTACTCCGTGCAATATTTTTACCTGAATGTTTATTTTGTCGCTGATGGCTGTTAAGGACCCAGGGCTGCCTTTTTTATGCCTGTTCAAAATATCACGGGATGCGTGGTACAGTTTACAGTTCGGGATTGTCGCGGGCCACCAACTCTAAAGGTCTTGGTTTAAAAGACAGAGCTGTTTAAATAGTCTGTGCTCTCTGTCTTTGGCAGCCATCCAGCTACCGTTAATGCTCGTGTTTATGAAATATTTGCTGGTACCATGCCATGAATTGAATGTAGTGCAGTGGTTGCATACTCTTTAAGCTGACATAAATGCATATGTTTCCTAACAGCCTACTGGCAATGGAAAATATGAACAAATCCATTTTCCAAACTACAATAAACCCTTTGTTACAATGTTTTTATTTTCCTTTTTATGTATACAATATTCAAAAGCCAGACATAGGAAAAGGTATAATCTGTTATTAAAAATGGCACATTTATTGCTACATTACTGTTATATACAGTACATCTATAGTATTGTTATATACAGGAGACCTCTCAAATATATATATATATATTTATATATATATATATATATATATATATATATATATATATGTAAAAGAGAGAGACTGAGTGAGGTACTCTGAGGACCTGTCAGGAGACAACTGTCCTCACTCCAAGATGTCAGGCTCTGTGTACCTGTGAATGTATTTAACACTCAATAATCTCCCCCCTTATTAGTTCAGAGATATGACAAAAATGTTGAAAGCAAGTATTTTATTACTGCTTTCTTATATGAAAACAAGTCCAAGCCCATCAACTGAACACTTTCCATCGTAATATTGAAATTTTATGTTAACATTATGTGCTCTTGGTCAAGAATGCTTTTCTGCAAACTGTCAGGATGTCTGAAGAAATAAAGTTCTCCCAAACAGAAATCTGAACATAGAGATTGCAGGCTAATGGGATGTTCACAGAATACTAAATGACATCAAATCAGATTCCCCTTGGTACAATTAGGCAATATTCAATACACTTACTGATCTTGTAATATTAAAAAAAGCAAAAGTTTAAATACAACTTTTTTTTTTTAAAGAAGTGATCAGAAATTCTCACAAAAAGTCACTGTCAATGCCACCAAAGCGCTGGAAGAGTAAAAGGTCAGAGGTGAAAACTGTCACTGAAGACTACATATACTGAAAGTCACTGCAGCAAAGGGCTTGCACTCTGATATAAAGAAATTTAAAATACTCCAAGTCATTAGAGGCTCCAGCTAATACGGAAAACACAACTCACTCCCTACATTGAAACCGAAGCAACACATACACTGAAACATGTTAATGTGCATCAAAAGCAGACAATCAGAGCCAAAAGCAGCATCTCTTGAACCCTGTTATGTCAAGTGATTTAGCAATCTAAAGCAGATAGAAAGAAAATTCATGACCTGGACCCATGACCTTAACTAAAACAGCAATTTGGACAATATAATCCAGTTGAATAATTAGAAATAAAAGAATAAAAACTAAAGATCTACATAACATTTTATTTAACTAGATACACAAAGAAAAATCTCTTTATACCATTTAAACTTCTTTCTGAAAATTAAAAAAAAAAGCATTCGAAGGGAGGGTGGGGGAATGAACAAGTACCTCTTTAATCTCCATGATAAATGAAATGATATGGGTTGACAAAAACTGTCTTAAATGAAAATACAAGTTCAGGCACTGATAAGGTATCACTCTCCCATCATGACATCTTAAGTCTTGAGAATGAAAAGGCCACACTATTGATTTGTATAGGTCTTTTTCTTCATCTCTTTTTGTAGAAATTAAACACAGAAAATGCTCTACCTCTCATTTGTGATTACATGTTGGTATAAGCCATTCATAAACATGACGACATGGGAATAAACATCACAATAACACTGTTTTGTTCTCCATTTTACCCCTTACACCCCAAGACCCACATCTGCCCATCTGCCTCCGAAGAAAATGTGCATCCTGTGAAAAGTGAGCTGCACACCAAGAGCCACTTGGTTGAGGGCAGATGTTAGAAAAAGGTGAAACCAAAACTATTATACTGTACTGGGAAAACCTAGGAACACAAAAGAAAATAAAGGCAATCCACATTTGTATTGTAGCTACATTCAAAAACCAGTTGCATAATTACTGTTAGAGACAAAAAAAAAAAAAAAAAATCCCTTTCCCACATTTTTCCCCTCAGTGCCTTACTGCTAAAGTAAGAACACCAACAGGTTTGTGGCACATACCCCCACAAAGAAAATGAATTCATCTGAGTAGCTGATTACACATCTTACAATTAAAAAAATGGAACAAAAGATAACATTTTCCATTTATCATCTGCTGCCCCACCCCCCATCAAGGCTCCGTTTTGAATTCATTTTTGACCAATTTTATTTAAATGTCAAATGTCAAATACCCCCTTATTCAGCTCATCTACAACTTCAAACTAATATTGCCATTTATGTAAAAAAATCTACAATGTATAGACTAACAAAAAATATATTTTTTATATATATTTAATTTTGAAAAATGAAAGAGTAATGTATGAAGTGAATTTACATGTCACACTTCTCTCAGTAAGAAACATGAGAACAAACTTACTCAGGAGGAAGGTGAGGGGCTGTAATTCAGTGGGAATGCTCATTTAGGAAAAGAAAGCCTGTTATAGAAAGGCTTGTCTGCGTCAACAACCGCTGACAGATGAGATCCCTCCATCATAGGAACCCAGATTTTTTTCCTCTTACAGAACATGAAATTTGTGTCTTCAATGGCTTTTATACAAGACTTTCAGGGACTGTAATGCACTACGGGTCGACACTTATCTTCCAGCCTACACCTACACAACTGTGCTTTGCCTCGTCTATGCTTTAGTACATAAAGCAATACAAAAATCTGAACCTACAACAAGGGACTACTGGAGTAACACTAGAATTCGTGGTCAACAAAGAGGAAGAACAGTTCTGTAGTTGACAGATTCTACCACTTGGATAACTCATAACCTTCAAGGAAGGAGTCTTTGATTCCAAGTCTCCAGATGCCTTGTGGGATGAGACCAGGCTTCAGTCAGAGACAGTCTCTAGATCAGAGTTCCTGTTTTTCATGTAAGCTGCGTTTGAACTGTCAAAACGTTGACCTTTCCTTTGTGATCTTTCCACCGCCCCCTCCAAACATTTACTGATAAGATCAAGGAAAAGTCACAGAATTTAGACAATTCAACTTCAACTATAGGCTTTGTTACATAACATATGTAAGACTGTACCATCACGCTGGGAATGACATACATTAAAAATAACTGCTCATACACATAAGCAATCCCTCACAATAAATGTTCCTCACATGTAAAGCAATTTGCTTAAATGTCAAATAGAAAACGTAACAATTAGGCACAAATCCTTGATTCAATTTGTGTTTGTTTAGGTCTCCTTTTATTTCCACCAGAGCACCTCCTGGCAGTGTGTGAAGTCCCAATTTGTGGCAGGATAAAAAGTACTCCGGTGTTCCATCATCTTGTGGAAACCAAAGAAGAAAAATAATCTTACATGTATAAAACAAAGCAAAACTTAAAAAAAAAAAAAAAAAAAAAAGTTCTTCACATTTGAGCTTGTAGTCATGGTTGGGAGTGCAACAAACAGGCTGTGTCAGTTTTGGCAGTATGCGTGTGTGTACGCGTGTGTGAATGTGCATCTTGAAACTTGAACGGACAATACACAGACATGTCCACATAGACACACACACTGACAATAATGGGTGGAAGAAATCTGATAAGGCCACATCCTCTGACAGCCAAGGAAACACCACCAGATCTGGAAAAGGAAGGAGCACAATCATTATGTAACAGTATTTCTGTATTTAAAAAAAAGAGATACAAGTTATGCAGTAGTGCTGGTATAGAAAAAAAAAATTCCGAAAATACTGCTGAGTGCAAAAGAATTATCCGTGGGTAACAAATACCTACAAACTACAGCAGTGCATAGCTGCCACTGTGAGGGAAAAAAAAAAATTGCTCAGTTATGTCGTTATAACGAGAAACATTTTTCTTTTAACAAGACACTTCTCATTTTTACACATTTAAAACAAACAGTATATTTTCTTTTGTAACAAAATACTGCATTTCCTCATTATGTTGTGGTAACTTCAATTACAATGTGAAATATAACCTAGTTTCCATTTTTTCTAATATTGTAACACATATTTCTTCTCCCTAATGTGAGCTCTGCTCCGCTTGTAGTGAGTGACAGCAGTGCACAGACTGACTTTACCTGCTGTAGTAATGCTTATAGTATCTCATTGTAATAAGAAAATAAAATGTCGTAATAACGTGAAAATTATCGTGCTTAACATGAAAGGATCTCATAAAAACAAGTATCTTGTTATGATGAGATACTGAGCACTATTTTTTTCCCTCATGGTGGCAGCAATATGTTGCCTTAATCAACTCTTGTGAATTACATCCTAAATAATCAATCAGCAAGACCTACCTGGTGTTACATGTGGCCAACTGGATTGTGGCCATCTCCTCCCATACTAGGATGGCCTCCTGAGAGCTGCATGGGTGCTTCACTCACCACCCCAGACACCTTCTCCTCCTCACGGCGTTTTAAACACGCTGCCTTGGGGTTAAGGTTACGCTCTGCCAGAGAAATGAAACAAACCTTCTTAGTATGAGGAAATACAATGTGTACTTAACAGAGCATCACTTCCCATCCATGATGTGCTACTTGCAAACTGACCTCTAACTTGTTGTTCTAAATTGAGGATGACATTGACCGCTTGGTGCAGAATGAGAAGTTTGGTCTGAGGTTTGTCATGACTGAGGTGCAGCTGGCACATCCTCCCGAGCTCCTTAAATGCTTCGTTAATGTCCCGGACTCTGAGACGTTCGCGGGCATTGTTGGCCACTCGCCGTTCCCTCTCACGCTCCATCTTCACCTCTGGGGGAACGTCCTCGTCATCTTCATTGTCCTGACTGGTTGCAAATGAAGATGAAGTGAACGCAGTCAGGGGCAGGGAGAAAATTCTAAACAAAGCATCCAACACTGACGAGCCCATGCTACCTTATGATTAACATTTAGCAGCTTTAATGTAAAACAATCAATAGCATCCGCACTTGAGCTTTGGATATGTAAAAAATGAGATGTGAGCAGTTAATACTATGTTAAAGTGAATATGGGAAGAGCATTACCCAAGAAGTGACATCTCCTACTTCAAATGACCAATTCAAACAAGATGTTTATCCCACAAAAGTTGGATTGGTTCAATTTAAGTAGTTTGCTCTACAGTGCATTGTTTGTTGCTGTACCTGAAAGCCTGATAAGTTGTAGCTTCTGCTTGCACCTTTGATCCTATAAATGCTTGATTTTTTGTCATCTTCTACTATACTACTGTATCAGGAATAATTTTATGATTTTGTGTGTGTAAGTATCTTCAGACTAAAGGAGAATTTCATTATCAAATGTCAAAACTCAGCATATGTGTAGCAATAGTCCAAGTCAGTGGTAGATAATAAAGTTTAGAATATCATATTATATCACAATAATTGTGCCAAATAAAATTCATACTTTAAACACCAGTTCCATAAACACGTGCTGCGAGTGATGTCTAACTCACAAAGCACAAGAAACTGATTCTCCGTTTGAGAAACTTACTCATCTTTCTGGTCTGAAAGGCCAGAGAGCATCTGGAGGGTCAACGCCTCCTTTCTGAAAACGTGACATGAAGGGAGGGGGGAGTTGGACATTGTTAAACACCTAACATAGCCTGGGCTATCAGAGGGACACATAGGAAAGAGTAGATGTCTAAGATGAATTACACCATCTTTAAAAGTGACTAATTTAACAGCTGTCATATGGAACCTAGCAGCAGCAAATGGTTTTCTTAATATTCTCATACTTGGCAACTGTGATGAAAAATATATTCACCTCTGTGGGATAAAACTGTGTGCGCTTGAAAATAACAGCACGAAAAAACAGTGTTATGGAGTTTATGGATAAAACACAAATCCAGAGTAAAAAGACTATGTATGCAACAGAGCAAGGACAACTTTACCTTGTTCGACTGCGTGCTACCTTGGAGTCCTTCTTTTCCTCCTCGGACTTGTCTGTAACAGAGTTTTCATCGTCCTCTTTGTCTTCTCGCTTGATGTCTGAGCTGCTGGAGGAGTGGGTGGAGCGGGTCATACCACCAGGGAGACCTGATGCAGAAATGTGAGGATTTAATTCAAAAGGCACTAACGCCTTTCAACTTCAGACAGGACTTAATCAAAATTCCCCCATCTGAGGAGCAGCTGTAATGCAAGGCATAATGGGGAAAGCTAATAAGGTTAAGTAAAAATCACACAAAAAAATAATAAAAAAATAAATAAAATAAAATGCATATTGACACCCGCATTGGTGCAAAACCAATCTTTCATTTCAATATGCCGCAAAATAAAACCCATACTCTAATGTAATGTCAGTGAACAAGATATGTTAAGCAGCGAGACAGTCAAACTTACTGGTGAAGCCATCTGGTTGGCCAGCTGATGGTGTGGGTCCTGATGCATGATGACCATGCAGAAGAGTGCTGCTGGGGGGAAGGCCTGTGGGCTCCTCATGCTTCCCTCCCTGCTGATGAAGGTGAACAACAATAACATGAATTTCACAATGACAGATATAGCCCCACTACAAAAAAGCCTGCAAAGATTCCTCCAGCACAATGCATTGGGCCATCTAACTTGCAGCTAAACTGCAGACAAAGTAGAGAGCATGACTACCAAGAAAAACTCAAAAACTGTCTGCAACTGCATGGCCAAACGTGTGTACTTTGAGATGTAGCTATGTACAAAGCAATCTCTTGCAATTTTATTTTTGGCCAGCAGATGGCATAAATAATAGACATATTTTGTTCTTCATGGAACTAAGTATTGTTTTTCCAAAAATTATTCAGTTAATTACAACAGAAAACTAATTTATTTAAAGGGCAAGTTGTTATGGTTCTTGTAAGCCATGTTTTACACAGCATCAGACCTGCCAACCTTGATCTTAAGTCTTGGCATACTACTTGATGTACAGAGGGCATAGCACATATATTTTAACCCTGATACAAACAAAGTTTCTTCACACAGCTCATTGAATGAACATGTACTGTACTGCCCTCTACACATATCAGTATCCACTGTTGCTGAGGGCAAGGCTTGCAGCAGGGAAAGCTGGAGAGAGGCCTCCAAGACCTCCGTTGTGTACTGAGAGGAGGCTGTGCATGTCGGAGTGGGCACCCTCTAAGCCAGGGCCTTGACCCACTGCATGGCTACGCAGTACATGGATAGCCTCCTCCAAACGGTCCTCCATTTTATTTTGCTACATAAATACAAGGCACATATTCTTAGAAATCAACCTGACAAAAAAAATGTTTAAAAAAAACAGCTAATAAGCACACATGGTAGGCTTTTTATCTTTTTGACCCATTTGTTTTTTTACTATGCACAGAACCACTAAAATAACTACAGAAAGGCTAGAGGAATATATATATATATATATGAAAACTTTGTTTTCCCAAATAATCTTGATGCAGAAGAAAAATGTTTTAACATACCAATGTGTGTGGTTGCCCTTCATAGTTGGGTGTGGTTGGTCTTTGCCACTGAGATGTACCTCCTGCAGAGAGAAATATTGGGACAGTGTTTAGGTGTTAATTCTGAACTTTACAGCAGATGGAGCTGCAGACACGTTTCTGTGTTAAAGAAATTGCAATGCACAGAGGATCATTTTTGCTCTAATATTTCAACTGATTCATTTCTGTATACCAAAAAAAAAAAAAAAGGCTGCAATTAAATTGAGCAAATAAAATGAACTGGACTGGTGTAGGTATTCTGGAAATAAAATTAAAATATTATGCAACATTGCAGTTTTAAACTCCACCAACCTTTTGATTGGCTAAATTTACACATCAAAACAAGACAGAAATGACAAAGGTAAAAAAAAAATCATATTTTTATTAAACAACAATTCTTCAAATTGTTGTTTAAGATGACACTGAAGCTGCTTCCACAATTAAATCATACATTAAGAGATCCCTCATATCATCTGTATTTAAGAACTATACTGCACCTGCAATAGCTTGAGGAGATCCAGGAGTAGATGGAGCTGAGGAGAAGTTATTACTGTTGTGGTCTGATGGGTAAATCTAAAAGGAAGGATCAATTCATCTCAATGTTATGTACATGCCCTTAAAATACCATAGCAGTGCAAATACGTCAAACAGTTCAAACTAATGTGGGCAATACTACAGGAAATGTCACCACAATATTTAATATGTCATACAACATTTATCACTATGCAGTTATACAGTGGTTGCCAGTGTGTTTCACAATGGACCTTCATCGGTTTTGTATTGATAGACATTTGTCAGCTCCATCATCATTCGTAGCTGAATTTTCACTTACTTGTTCTTTTTTCATACAAATTTGTCGGAAGTTGAAAGATTTTCACATTGTCAGAGAAAAAACTGTCACAATTGTTTTACTGCCCAGCAGAATTTAAAATAAAACAAACAAACAACAGCAAACAGAAAAGAACTCACTGAAGCAAGAGCCTTTCCAATTTCATCTCCTGAACTGCCAGCTGTGGTGCCTCGGTTGGCTGCAGAAACAAAATAAATAACACGAGTCAGATGACCAGTTTATTTGTTTTTGGGAGGATAAAAAAAAAACAACAATCAAATGACCATGGGAGGTAAAATATTGACAGGATGTTACAAAGATGCTTGTGTGTTAAGTTCATTTTTAAAGTTCCTCACTCATGATGCCTTCTCCGTTGATGGTGGGTGTGTGGTTGTAGGTGGTGGGGGCTGAGTGAAAGCCGTTGACTTCACTGCCATGCAGAGGATAGTTCTGTGGGGACAGAGGCAGTGGGTGACGCTTCTGGAGAAGGGATACAAGCAGCTTCATGAGGCACAGACACCCCTCACAGAAAATAAACCAATTTGAACAATGTATTTCAAATTGGGAAGTCAAATGTTTAATTATTAAAAATAGTCACCAAAATGTTGACAGTCCATTTAAAATAATGCATCTGATGTGTATGGGATATGAGCTAAGAACACTGAAGAGCAGATGCTAATTTTCTAGAGCTTGATGAATTGTACTGCCCTCAAGCTCATCACATTATAAGCACAAAACACATTTAAAAAAGAGAGAGGGGGGGGGAGAGATGACCAGATAATTAAAATGAGGCTGATGCTGAGAGTTCTACCCACCATCCTGTCCCCTGGGTTTATTGCAGAGAAGGAGCCTGGCTGACCAATATGAGGAGAGTTCCCCAGCATGGCAGAGTAGCCAGAGGATGACCAGGGGTCTTCTGAGGAAAGACACATTTGCAAATACTGTATGAAAACAGCTTCATAAAAAGGACTGAAGAACTAAACTATTACGGTTACATTTAGTGAAACGTTACCTTGCATGTAGAAAGAGCCAGGGTAGACAGTTCCTGGCTTAGCACCAGGATATCCGCCATTGTCCCTGGCATACTCATCACCAGCATACACCTAAACAAACATGTAGACAGTCAGCAGGTGGCCTATGTTTTCTATACTAACTACTACGTACCTAAAACAGACATTTTATGACACCCTGTGCATCACAAGAGAGTAGGGTATCAATCCACCCTTGCTATGGAAAACCATTTAATTACACAAGCTTCAAGTGACCACAAGATGGCAAGAGGGAGTCTGCCAACTGTGGAGGGGAACACAGCGGCCATGGCATGCTGGGCACAGTGCCGGCTTGAATCCCAGTGCACAGTGAGCATTTCCTCTAGCTCCCAGGACCCCAGTGACATTGCACTGCTGGCCTGCAACCCCTCCCTATAACGTACACCGTATCATCTCACACGCATACCATGCATTTGGTGAGCCAACACTTACATACAACATACACACGCCCCTACCCACACATACCATCAAAGTAGCTCTGTCTATATGGCATCGACTGAAAACAAACAGTTCAGATGAAAGTACACATTTTATACTACCACATTAAAGAATTCAGTTACACATCCTTTCTGTATATTACTAACAAAAATGGAAGCTGGGCCTCCATAGCCACAGACTGAAGATAGACATGAGAAGTCTTCAGTTTCCTGACACCATCAACTGCCACTCAGTCAGTCTTTTCCTCTCCTCCTCTGTAGTAACTGGCAGATAAAGGAAGAGAGAAAGAGAATGGAGGCTATGCTGCAAAGAATGCTAATCCAGAGAAGGGATTTTTTCTGTAATTTGATTTAACAGGGAGAAGTGGAAAGGGAATGGAGAGATGCACTTCTAATTACAGAGCCATCTGCCTGTTCCTGGACCACATCCAACTCCACAGGCAGCTGGGCTGAGGAGAGGCAGTGAAGAGAGGGAGAGAGATGGGGGCTGGGATCCAGTCAGAGAGAGGGACAGGGGGACAGAGAGAGAGAGAGAGAGGAAGAGAGGGTGCAGTGGGTAGGAGGTGGTAGAGGGGCAAGGGGGAGGACCGAGGGGAAAAAAATGAAGCCCCTGATGATTTATGAAATAGGTAGAGAGATAAGGGGTGTTGAGGGGGACAGGAGAAGGTAATCTAAATGACTTAAGCAAAGCCTGATATGGCCAGGGGAGTGTGAAGGAAACAGGGGATTTAAAATGATCATGGTTAATTCAGGAGAAAACATGATGGAGATGGCTTCATTTAACAATAGGCTTTGAGTTTTTCATTCACGGGGAACTTTGTCGAGTGAATCCTGCTGCTCTACATGGGAACAGAGAGCTACACAATGACTGCTGCTGTTGGATAATTGTATTCTCTGGAAGAGAAGGGATTTCTAGGGTAAAATCCTCAGCTAATAGAGGTTTAATGTAATTCAGGATGTGACCATATAAAGGTCCTCACACCCACACACCCACACACACCCACACACAAAAAACATAGGTTGTGGTGAGGGGTGGGGAGTAGATGAAGATTAAAATCAAACTAACCTCAAAGCACTCTATTCAACCACTGGACAACTAGGGGGCAGAAGAGAAGCTGCTCTATTTCTCTGATTGTTGCAGATGAGAGGGCGTGAAGGCAAAGTCTCATGTACAGGTATTGGGGTGTTACAGAAGTCAAGCACCTTGAGGGGAAATGGGAAAACAGCCTTTGCAAGCGCGGCTATTATTTGTCCATTTACTAATTTACAAAAACATGATTTAAGTGAAAAAAGTAGATAAGAAAGAAGAAGAAGCTTTTTTTTTTATTGTCAATGTAACACTGTGACACTTACAACAAAATTTTGTTTGGAGCCGAGGGCCCTGGGCCACTGCGTGCATATGCACCACCATCATGGGCAACTTGGGGGGGGGGGTCAGTGTCTTGCCCAAGGACACCGACATGTGGACTGCAGGCACCAAGATTCGAACCTGTCAACCTTCTGGTTGGGAGAGGACTGCTCTACCCACTGCACCACTGTCGCGTCCCCACCGGAAGAACTTTATTGAAGGGGAGGGTGGGAGGGAGGAAAGACTACAGGATCATCACCAGCAGTCATTAATCTGGGCTCACACACGGTGCTAAAGAGGCCTCGCTAGCACCGCACCACACAAGTGGGTCACTCACAGGGGGAGGCCCACCCAGGCCATCATGTGGTGAAGCATAGGCAGAGGGCTGGCTGAGGTGGGGGAGGGTGGGTCACACACACACACACACACACACACACACACACGCATCTAATCATTTGCACTAAAAACACATGGCCATCGTTCACAGTGCGGGAAACTGACTGAGGTTCACACAGTGAAAAGAGGGGGCCTGAGCCAGACAGTGTTCACACTCAGTCTCTGATGTAGTCATTAGAGTGAAGTGTCTGCACAGAAAGGTTTCAGCAACCACTTCAAAACAGCAACACCCACAAATGGACAAAAGCCACAGTGTCACAAAAAATTCTTAAATGTACATTGATCAAGAAATAGGCGTTCACCAGGTGCAACTGAACCATCTTCTACTATTGGTCAATCTAACCTTATCAATGCAGCCGACTAGAGTCATGGCATCTGCTACAACTTCATCTCAACTTGCAATAGAGCCAGAACATATCACTGTTAATGCTTGACTAAATGTTCTGCCAGATTACACATTCATGGCTGTGATTTGGACCTAGTCACCCCTATAAATCCTTTGAATTTACTTCATCTATGCTAAGTCGTTAGCCAATTTTCATTTAACTTTTCTTATCAACATTTGTGCAACACACGCTGAAATCATGGGGTTGAAAACAGGGCTTAGGTGCAGGTCTCTGACCCAGGAAGCCCTACACTGTCACAGCATAAAATCTACAGGCAGACTACATTTACAAAAACTGTTAATAAAATAATGCATTTTGATTTTCTTTTCCTCTGCTTGTGTTGGTGGTGTCCTGCTCCAAGGTATCGTGCTAAAACACAGATGCCACAGTTGTGGAGATGCAAATGTTCCATAGCCACTTTATCTTTTAGGTCACTCTTGTCATCTGAGACCTACAGTAGCATGAAGACTGGCTTACCAAAAACGCTTGTGCAATAGCAGGATTTCAAATTAATGATCCAGTGGCAGCTCAACGAGCAAGACTGGGCTCTAATAGCAACAGTAACACAGGCAACTACCCAGTAGAGTCCTTCTTCCTTGAAATAATCAGGTATGCTATCCTACATATCAATGCATCAGTTGGTTCAGGACCGTGAAGGAACCTGAGTGTATCTGAAGAGGAAAATATTATGTTGTGTTGAAGATACTATGTGGTATTCAAATTGAGCAAATGGTCTCTGAGTCATTTATGATGTATAGTAGCCGCAAGTGTACAGAGGAACTAGCTGTTAATCAACACGCAACAATCGTATTTAGACAATGAAAATATCGATAAACGGACATGCTGTAGGCAACTGAAGTCTGAACCAATACTTAGTAAAATCACTTTAAACTAACAGGAAGATTCATTCAGCATATACTCAAAAATGAACAGTGACTGGTGTTTCCAGCCATGTGTGGTTACCATCGCCAACATACAAGCTGCATTAGCTGCTGGAATTCTGGGCGCACTGATAAAATGCGACACTGTACTGTAAATGAAAACACTATATAATACTTATAATATATACTTTGCATCTAGGACTGAAGTTTGAGTGTATTGTGGGGGACCCAGGATCAAAACCTCTTATACCTAAATCCAACTGAATCTATTAAAGCTTTTAACAAATTTAAGGAAGACATTACACACAATATTTAGGAACTAAAACTCCAAGACTGATATTCAAAGAAGTGAAACTTTTGCCAGACAAATTACACATTTGTTATTTATCCGAGAAACTTTTAAATGGTCTATAAATTCTCTCTAACACAAGAGAAACATTTCAGGGCTTAACAAACCTAAGTGTCTTATTAATGAACTGAACTACCTATTAGAACCAAACCCATCTGGACCCCTCATGCATTAGGCTGCCTGAAACATCTGTACCTTTACCTTGTTTGAGAAAAACATACAATTCCAGTTGGGCCACCGAACAAAGCAAGTTAGCAGACTAGACAAAGTACCTCAAAATCCTATAAAATCGTTTGTCTACGTGACATCCAGACTGAACGCCACTTGAAACCGTGCGAGTGTAGTGTAAAGACAACCATAGTGATGATGTTTATTGGGGCCTGAGCTCCCTGACTGTCAGCTCAGTGAGCAGAGGGTCTTTACCCCCGTCTGTCACAGAACTGCTCAAGCAGAGTGGGGAAAGCAGTGCGTATGTGTCAGTGTGTAGCAAGTGTGTGTGCAGAAAGAGAGAGAGAAAAGAAAGAAAAAAAAAAAACCGACTGGCTGTGAGCTGTGAAGGTGAGGGGAAATAAGCTCTCACCGAGGACGGCAGGCCAGGGGGTTTCCGAATCTTCTTTGGCTGGGAGTCTGCACGCAGACAGACGGAGACGCAGTGAAAAGGTGAAAAAGAGACAAAAACACAAAGGAATTAGCAAAGACACATTTTCCAATATTATGTCAATTCAGGTACAGTTTCACCATGTGCTCACTCTAATTTCAATAGTTTTTTTTTTATTTCAACTGCAGAACAGAAAACACACGGCAGCAATTTTGGCAGTGATAGCAGTGTGAATCAAATGGTTCTGTGCATTCCTCTGTATATAGCTTAGTTTATTAAAGATGTGTTAAATGTAGACAAAAGGTACAATATTTACATTGTTCTAAAGAAAGAACATAAATAAATAGCCATCGTACAAAAGGTTTTCACAAAAATAAAAACACTTTTGGGCTCCACTTCATACTAAGCTCCTACAGTTTCATAAAGTGCACAGGTAAGCGGTAACTGCAGAGCTAAAACAATTATTTGATAATCAATTAATTATATAAGCATAATGCCAAAATTTACCCCACCCACCCAGCCAGCCTCACATATGTCTACAGTTTCAGGTTTTCTTAGCCACCAAAATGAATAAGCTTTGGATTTCTGGACAACTGGTCAAACAAAAACAAGCAATTTGAAGACATCGCTTTGGGCTCTGGGAAATTGCGATGGACGTTTAATTTATATTTTGACATAATGTAGCTCAAACAATTAATTGAGGGGTAAAAGAAAAACCAAGAAAAAAAGAAATGACTGGGCACACCACACCATGCCTCCCAGTTATTGTACCTATGCCTCCCTCGGGTGGCCTTCTCCTGGGGTTGTTGGGGTAGGACGGGTAAAACTGGGAGCCAGACTTCAGGCCAGAGGGGGACATGGCATCTGGGCTTGGCATCGCTATGTCGCTGGGAAGAAAACCAGACTAAGAGCAGACAGAAAAGCAAACCTTTAATAATAGCAGACACAAAGGAATGGGAAAATGCAACTCAAGACAAATGGCTTCTGTTTTAGGAAATGAAGATGGTTAATTCAAAGTGTTTAATGTGAAAGGAGAAGTGAGAAAACTGGCCTTCCTTTACACTGACACATTACATGAATCTGTCTCACACATACATTTAAAACCTTACAGTGAAATGCAAGGGAAGCAGCAGTAGATGACAACATACCTGGCTTCCAAAGGGAGGATATGGTGGCCTCTCATTTTTACCTGCAAGATTAAAGTAAAGATTTTTTACACATTGATAAACAGTATATACACATAAAGAGGTAATGGCGTGTGCTAAAACAAATGAAAAGTAGGTGTTCTAAAGTACAAAAAGTCCAGAGATACCCTCCCCTTTTTCAGTACGCTCAGCTGCATAAAGCTGCCTGCCAGACAAAACCCTAGGGAAGGTTTCTGCTTCAGTGCCCTAACATCCCCAACACTCCGCGAATGAACACAGGCACAGGCGCAGGCGCACACACACACACACGTAGACACACATACACATTTTACCACACAGAAAACACGTCTGTGGACATAACGAAATATGCACAACAGTCAAATTGGCCATATCAACATGTTTTATTTTAAAACTGGAATGTAGCAAAAATGCATTTCCTTTGGCACTGAAAAGTATATGTACCATGTTTATAACCTCATTCTGTTATGTTTAAAAAAACAAACAAACAAAAAAAACATCAAACCACTTTTGCCACATAAGGGTCACTTTTTAAAAATGATGTGCAGACATTCAGAACCAGCATACCTGCAATCCCTGAACTGATGAACGGAGAAGACAATCCTTCATGCTCACTGTAGTGGGATCCTTCTACGTAGCCCTGTAGGAACAATGGCACACACAAGACAACATGAATATCCTTAAAAATGCAAAGAAGCATGGAAATAAAGGTATGTATGAATGTGCAGGCACACGATTAGGCAAATACACTTAAAATACACCCACAAACCTAAAGGATAACCACTCTTTAAGGCCATCCTCATCTTGTTAGCACACCTACATGGGTTAGTGGTTACCCTCCCTCTGCTGTTTCGTCTAACTAACAGGATCCATGCCAAACAAATCTGCATCAGCTCGAGGGATTCAAACCGACTTTCTTAATTATCAACTTGTGGTAATCAAAGCCTGCTGCATCTACTTCACCCCCGTTCCTTGTATTACACCGAGTTGTGCCAAGACAGTTACGGCGGATGTGAAGCTGCAATTACCGGTGGGCTTCCACAGAGGTTCTGGGATACCAGAGAGCTTGCCAATGCAGGATCCTGAGCCAAGGTGATTAGGTAGAAAGCAAAACTACCACTTCAAATCAAACATGGCACACGGCAGGAAAAAAAGTACTAGGTTGTTGTGGTGGTTTAGGGAGAGTGTGTTTATGTGTGATTAAACACAACCAAGTGTGTGACAATATCACGGCATCTGGTGTTAATGCTTAGATCTCCAAACTTAAAATCGTGTGCAACTAAAGAGTGAGTATGTGCATGAACTTAGAGCCTACCCGTCCTTGGCTGAAAGAGGGGCTGTTCTGTTCTGCCGAGGCCCAAGATCCACTGCCGCTGCGTTCATCTAGTGCTGAAGAAAAAAAAAAGAATAAACTTCAGACTGACAGGTAGGAACAGCAGGGAGTTGGTCTGAAGGGGAAACAATCAAAAAACTTGCTGTGCTACTGCAATGAAACAATGTTAGCAATTCCAAAATGACAGCACATAATTTTTAACCTATGTATTGTTGCAGATGTGTATAAATGTCTGGATGTCACTGCATCCTGCTTTCAACAGTCTTAACAACAACAGTCTTACTTACAGCACACAGCACCCCATATTGACAGAAAAACACAGAATTTTTGACATTTTTGCAGATTTATTAACAAAGAAAAACTGAACTATCACATGGTCATAAGTATTCAGACCCTTTGCTCAGTATTTAGTAGAAGCACCCTTTTGAGCTAATGCAGCCATGAGTCTTTTTGGGAATGATGCAACAAGTTTTTC